TGAATTACATTTTATTTTACAGGTGGCTGATGATACACCTACCTCGCTAACAAGGTACAGTGTAATTTGTGACTGTTAGCAATCATACAGAATTCTTGACAAAATTCTTTGCTCAATTCATGTCATGCAATCACAGGAGCCGCAGATAGTCAAGTATTAGAGGAAAGGACCAAATTCATTTCTATGTTGTTACTCCTAATTCATTAATTTATTAACAGCAGAGTTTTGGCACAAGTCACCTTTGAAAGCCAACAAATACGTTCCTGGCTTTTGGATTCATCAATTAAAATGGTAAGTAAAAAAAGAAACTTAGCACAATATCATCACTCATATTTATCTTTTACTCTTAAATAAAAGCAATGTGCAAAAATTGACCTGAGTTTCCAATATTGATCTTAACAGTTTTCTGAAACTGCTCAAACAGCAGTTGTAACAACAAGGCAGACTGATAATGGTTACATTTCCAGCAATAGTTTCCCTGTGCTTTTTCCCCCAAAAAAACATGAAGTTTATGAGTGGTAACTCTTTATTGACCCTTTAACTCCCTTGAGTGACTAAGACAGAATGTCTCCTTACAACATCAATGAAATATCAAGTTGACAAATGATGAGAATAAAGAAAAAATATCAATAAAGGGATTGTTAGCTGATCTAATACCAAATTCTCCATACAGTAAGATGAATTACTAATGAGATCCTGGGATTCAAAGGGTTAACTGTTTCATTCCCAAGATCTAGGCATCAATTCTCTAAAATGTTAGCCACACACTGCTTTCCATCTGAGCTCAGTTACTTCTACAACTTAATACACAGGGCACTGAAGAACTTTGAAAGTTCAAGATCCCAACATTACGAGAACTTGTGTTAACTGTTAGAGAATTAGTTTCAGTGTAATTTAAACATAGCACATGTAGATTCAGTTGGAAAAGCTAAAAAACCCTAGAATGTATGTTTGTAAATCCTTAACTCCAGAGTAATTTGTTTTGCACTAAATGTTGGTTTACATCACGATTGCTCAAAATATTGTATAAAATATACTACAACTTGACTCGTGTTACTCAAACCCAAACAAATAAGCAAATGGTTTTTTTAAAACTTCAAATGTACACAAACTAGAGATGAATCATTAAAATTATCAATAAATCAAATCAAATTTCTACGATCTTTGTACGATTGATCTTTACCAAGAAGAAGAAAGCCATGTAGCGCAGGTGAATAACTCAGCAAATAATTAATTCGAATGTAACCTAAAAAGCTCGCTTACCAACCAATAAAATATCTTTCTATCAAATTGTTTTTATCATTTCATATTTGCAGGAGAACCACGATGCGGACCAACTGACCGAAAATATCAACATTTTCATAATTCTGTTGATTATTTCTTTATATTTAAGATATTTCTAATATTTAAATAAATTAATGCTTTTTCATGGTCGTGTTCTCCTAAAATTGAACCAATACATTCTTCCATAACCAAACCAGCATTGTGTCTCCGATGTGCAATGTGCAATGTGTCTCCGATGTGCAATGTGCAGTGACAATGTGTTTAGTTCCAATTGTAAAAGTCATTTATTGTTACAATAAAATTGATTCAAGTCTGTCACTCGTACTCCATGAACCCCGTTTTGTTGGTCTCTTTAGTTTTATTGAGAAATGGTTCAGGGCAGTAAAAGTTACTGAAACCAAAAAGCGTAGGGCTAAGTCAAAAGGCATGAATTAAAACACCAACGATAGAGGGTAGACGATAGATTGTGTGACGGGACATGATCACGAAATTCAAAATTATCACGCAATCGCGTGAATGTCGCATGAATCTTTCTTTCACAGGGCGTTGCATTACGTTACTGGAACCTGTATTAAACGGTCACCCAAAACTGCACTTAACCAGGGGCTGATTGCAGTATGAACTATCTTCTCCGCAGTTCCCTGTATTTAAACAAAAACGGAGGCCTGTTTGACTAGGATCCTTTAATATCTTTACTTTCCTTGCGATTGTTGACAACTCTCTGTCTTCCTTCTAGTCCATGTCAGAAGTAGTGTATTGAGCAAGTTTTAGTTAATTAGGTGGCTCAAAATGCCGAAAGATGCTTTTATTTTAATCCTTTTGTTTTCCTTCGCCGGGGAACATGTATAAAGCGGTCACCCACGTAACGCCCCGTAAAGGAAAAATTCATTTGAAAATCACGCGATTACGTGACAATTTTTGATTCCGTGATCATGTCCTGTCACACAATCGGTCGTAAACCGTCTACTCTCTATCGTCTACCGTCTACCGTTTATCTTCTGTTTTTACAAGCTATGTGCCTAATCCTCTAGCCCATAGTCATATATATTTTAATTTCGGGGAACAAGGTGGTTTCACCAAATTCAAATCACGCTTCACTGACAAACCAAACTTCCGTTTTCAAAACAAAAAATTCCCTTTCGGCGGAACTTGTCCCAGACAAAAATTTTCTAAGTGCAATGAAGTAAAAACAGTATGAAAACAATCCTGTTTCAACAACACTGTTTGACTCGCTTGTGCCGAACGGCTTGAAAATTAATCGGTAGTGTTTATAGACAAGGCGAGAAACTCCAAATTGAAAATATAAAAACTGTTATTCAGTTTTCAAAATCTACCTCTATCAATTTCGCTCATCGTTTAACTTTCCTACTAAATTTCATTTCTCTCAATCTGCTCCTCAGTTTACTGTTGACTAATTTACGATAAGCTATGATACCATATTTGTGTTTTGAATAATTCCCTAAACCGATTAACACTCGATTGTCATTTCTGCATAAATAACCATCATGGTTGAGGGCTCTTAATCTCAAAAATTCTCTACCAGTCTTGATTAAAGGCCAAACAGTACTTCATCATGCCTAAAGAGCAGTAAATATATATAAGCTGTGATCAGTGACTGCTTCATATTTTTATCGTGAACTACATATTCACTCCTTGAAAAATAATTGCCTAGTCATTACTGAAATTATGCCATCATAAGTGCTTTCAGTTTCAAATGAGGTCATCGACAGCAAAAGATTAACATAAAAACACTTAGGAATCCATAGAAAGTCAGCCTGTCGTATTTACAACGTTAGAGACTTCCATGTGCAGTTAATTTTCCTGTTGAAAACAGAAGTTTCATCAAGAATTATACAGCTACCAAATTGAAATGCCAGATAAAAACATTCCGAACTCATTCCCTGATTGTCATAGTACACAAGTTTGATAGAACACGTCAGGACTTGCACATACTAAAAATTTCCCGTGGGCTATTTCTGTAGTTTGCATTACAGTACACAAAAAAAATTCCCTATTCAAAAGATTCACGAAACTTTCATAATATAATATTCCCTCATTGAACTTTGAGGAGACGCCTACCGTAGCATACGGAGAGCGAAGAGCGCTTTATACTGCAATAGATCATGTCAACAAAACGCATTTAGTCGACAGAGAGAGAAGGTACGTCTGCTAACAATATCACAATGGTTCAAACGTAGTTTCAATTAGAGTTCTTAATGTACATCAAAACACTTACAAACTGCCTGTCCTCCTTTTACCGTGGCCAACAATGTTCACGGCGTACCATTGTACAACACTCTTTAAAAATCAAAACGGAAATTTCATCGAGAATT